CTTTTTTAGATTTTTCTACCTGGATTATTGAGCATGCATCAGGAAAACAAGTTTAACTTACTGATAACTTGTCAACACCTTTCATCCATCCATCCATCCATCCATTATATTTTACCTGCTTCTTCCATTTTGGGTCACTGAGTTGGCCAGTGCCCATGTCCGGCAATCCCTGTGCGAGGGGTGGGGTACACCCTGGACAGGTCGCAAGTCCATCACAGGGCCACATAGAGACAAACGAGGCAAACAATCATTCACTCTCTTTCTCACACCTAAGGACAATTTAGAGTCACCAATCAACCTAACATGCATGTTTTTGGTCTGTGGGAGTAAACCGGAGTACCCGGAGAAAACCCACGCATGTACAGAGAGAACATGCAAACTCCACCCAGAAAGGCTCCTGGACCGGGATTTGAACCAGGGACCTGCTCACTGCGAAGCAGCAGCTCTACTAGTTGCGCCACCGTGCTGCCCGTCAATGCCATCACAATTCCAATTAAAGCTGCAAGCAGCATTTAAAGTCCTCGCAGCAAAGCGCGGGAGTTCCAGCTACTCCACCCAGGCGCCATCGCGATCACTCTCATGCCAATCCCACACGCGTTCACCACAGGGTGCATTTCCCGAATCTTCGACATTGCCTTCCATCCACGTCAGTACTTGTCCAGTTGCAGGTCTTATAAGTATAGGCAAAATCCGACCCTCCAGACAGGAGTTATTGTGACTTCCTGTTTTGTGGTGAATTGTTGACGAGCACTTCCTTTATGCTTTTCAACATGTCATGTGTTAGCCAACAGTTAGCAAACACAGTTTCCGTCTTATATCTTACACAGTGCGAAGCTGGAAGAGTCACCCAATAATTGACAGTTTATTCTCTAAGTGGGTGGGGTTTAAGTGATGTCATGAATCCACAATACCAATGTGTCTAGAAGTGCTCACTGATCAAGCACAAAAAAAAATCAGGTTCAGATCAGATGATGCATCACTGAGATATAACTGTTGGAATAATCTAGGGGGTGCACTTGAGTCAAATGTTAAACCTCTATCCCAATGTGTCTATAATTG